TCCTTCCAATGAACACCCAGGACTGATCTCCTTTAGGATGGATTGGTTGGATCTCCTTGCAGTCCAAGAGACTCTCAAGAGTCTTCTTCCAACACTGCAGTTCAAAAGCATCAGTTTTTCAGCGCTCAGCTTTCTTCACAGTCCAACTCTCACATCCATACTTGACCACTGGAAAAACCATAGCCTTGACTAGACGGGCCTTTGTTGGCAAGTCTGATTGTGGTAGCCAAACACAAATCTGCATCCACTAAAATTCATAGAACCATTAAATTCATGTAATCCATTAAAATTCATAGAAAATAAAAGTCATGGGAAACATTTTAAAATCTCCATTAAACATGGCCCATTCCTTGCCTCTCCTCTCCCCCAAGCCTGGATTGCACCTCCACAACCCCATCAGAACCCAAAGAGGACACTTACTTCTCTGACACTCTCACTCCATCCCCTGAGCGATGACTCTGAAACTGGAGATGGCCCGTATCCAGGCCCACCTCCCCACACCTCCACATCTCAGGCCAGGCTTCCTGCCATTCACATACGCCCTGCTCCCCTTGCAGCCAATCCCTCACCCCTGCTCTCCCAGCCCTGTTGCTGCCAGTTCAATGACCTTGAACTGGTACCTTGGGTATTTTTCTCTCTCTCTCACCCTCCTTCCACTTCACTCCCTCAACTCTTGTCCACTGTACCCTACAAAGTCTGGGCTCTACTGGGGTGCAGAAGGGGGAGAGGAATTATCCTTTCATCCTGATTATTTACTATTTAAATATTTATTAATACTTACTCAGAGCAGATAGGGTCTGCTCTGAATGGTTAAAAACTGCCTGGACATGGTAAGACACAGAACCTAGAAATAATCGGATTTTCCTTTGGAAACTGAACCAGACTCTGCAAAGAAGGCAAGTCTGCTGCGGTCCAAGGCGCGTGTGGTCTGGCACCCGCCTTACACTTCCTCTGTGACTCAGCTGCAGTGAGCGGCTTACGTTTTTTCTTTTTTTAATTGGTCATGTTCCACCCCTTCTCAGGGGCTCCGTCCATGCTGCTCCCTTTTCTTAAGACTATTTTATCCAAGATTCTCTACAACCTGGTTTCACAGAATTTATAACAGAAACTTGAGCCCCAGTGCAGCTTTTCCCAACTGGTAAGGCCATGGACTAGAATAGTCACATGGCAGTCAAAGCCTAAAGAAATAACAACTGAGTAATGGTAAAATAAACCAGAAAAACGGATGTACTGAAAAAATAAACTTTCCCTAAGTAATACACTTTCAAGCTGTTCTAGGACTTTTAAACTTATGATGTTATGCCATGTACGTCAAACACTATAACCAGCTAAATATGCTAAATGGTGTCTAAAATATCTGCATGTCCAGAGAATGCAATACACAAAAATTCCTTGACTTTAATATATAATATGACAAGACCAGTGTTAATCGCTCAGTTGTGTCTGACTCTTTGCAACTCCTATGGACTGTATATCCCACCAGGCTCCTCTGTCCATGGGACTGTCCAGGTAAGTATACTGGAGGAGACTGCCATCTCCTTCTCCAGGGATTCTTCCTGACCTAGGGGTCGAACCTGTGTCTCCTGAATCGCAGGCAGATTCTTAACTGTCTGACGCCCAGGGAAGCTAAAGAGTGCTTCAGTTTGCCAGAAAAATTTCATACCCATATTTTATTTAATGCAAAAGACATAAATGTTACGTAAGGTCCTACTCTGGAGGAAAAACTACTCCCATAATCTTTCGACGGTAACTAGGCAAATTTTCCATATTCCAACTTAGATTTTCTTTTTATGGAAATAAATAATTTTCCCCATAAATAAGAGTTAAAATCAGTGTTTTAATGCTTTTTAAGTCAAAAGTTAAAGACATCAAGTATTTCTTTTACAGTGCTTTTATTTATCTGTGTAGATATACAATTACCATAATTTACAGTTACATAACTTTTAGTAATTAACTGTACTATAGGAAAAATCATACAGAAAGTTTGCACCACAAAATCATGTCCGTAAGGGATTAGGGTTCTCAGTAACAGAGAAATACAGAAGCTCAAAAAGGTCAGCAACCTCTCATAACTAAAGAGAGGAGAACAAAATCTGCTATATGTGGAAATGAGACTTCATAAACGTATCTTTCAAATTTCCCCTATTACAAAAGGGAATGCCTCTAAAATGCCATTGGTTTATCCTATATAAAACATCCTTTCTATTACTTCAAAAGCTTTTTTTTTTTGCTTTAAGATTTTAAAAAAATGCCATATTCTTAAGATACATTTTGTGAAAATTATGTCAATACAATATCCAAAGATTTCCATTATTTACTGTCCTTACTCAAAATCACCTGCCTGTACCAGGTGCAATTTTGTACACTTCACCACTGATAAGACTATTCCAAAGCAGAATTTTTCAGCAATACAGAAGACACAGTCCCTACAGTTATGCTTTAAAATAGTTATATTCAAAATATAAATATAAAATCTCTCCAGACTATTATTTTTCCTAATGACTAAACTCAAAAAAAAAAAATGGGAGGTTTTCAAACCAATGATGTATGCAGCCCATTCTCATGACACGGCCATTTAAACTTCTCACCTGTGAAACACAATACAATACATTATCAAAAAAGGGAGGGGAAAACCCCACAAAACCCCATCATTACAAAATCAAAACCATAACTACTATAAAACACATGCGGTGTCAAGTGTTAAGTTACACATTTTGCTGGATAATCTTTTCACTCCTCTTGACCATAAAAGCAACACAGGATCAATGTAGAAAATTCAGAAAATATAGAAAAGTGAAGAAAAAAAATAAAGTCTTCTAATCCTACCATTCAAATGGAATTCGTAATATTTGGGGATTTTTCTTTCAGCCTTTTTCCCACTATATACAAGTAATGGATTTAAGCAATACATATGCCTGCATACTTTTTCTTTAATAAAATTAGGATATATTTGCATTTTTACCTTTTGTTTACTTAACATACAGCAGTGTAGAATATCTCTGACTTTAAAAATCCTTCTAAAACATGATTTTAACAACAACTATTTACAGAGGTAGAATTACTATGTTAAAAGGGAATTTGAGGGAGTTCCCTGGCAGTCCCCTGGTTAAGACTCCACACTTTCACTGTTGAGGCCCTAGGTTCAATCCCTGGGTAGGGAACTAAGATCCCATAAGCCTCAAGATGTGGCCAGAAAAAAAAAGGAATTTGAGACAACCAAGAATCAATCTCCAGAAAACACAGCCTTTTTCTATCCTATTTCAGCCTACTCAAAATTCATAAAACTTATATGGTATATATTTACAAGTAAATTTTTTAAATCATAAAAAATTAAGTATCTAAAAAACCAGAAATAACAAGAAAAACAATCATCAGGAGAAACTATCCGCAAATAATATGACTGATAAGGGATTAGTCTGCAAAATTTACAAACAGCTTATCATGCTTAACAGCATCAAAACAAACAACCTAATCAAAAAATAGGCAGAAGACCTAAATAGACATTTCTCCAAAGAAGACATACAGATGGCCATTAGGTACATGAAAAGATATTCAACGTTGATAATTATCAATATCAATAATTATGAGAGAAATGCAAATCAAAAGTACAATAAGACATCACCTCGCACCGGCCAGAATGGCTATCATCAAAAAACCCACAAACAATAAACACTGGGGAGGGTGTGGAGAGAAGGGAACCTTCCTATACTATTGGTGAGAACGTAAATTGGTGTAGCCACTATGGAGATCAATATGGAGACACCTTAAAAAAACTAAAAATAGACCTACCATATAACTCTGCAATCCCACTCCTGGGCATATATCCAGAGAAAAACATGATCCCAAAGGATACATGCACCCCAATGATCACTGCAGCGCTGTTTACAATAGCCAAGACATGGAAGCCACCTAAACGTCCACTGACAGAGGAATGGATACGAAGATGTGGTGCATACATATAATGGAATATTACTCAGTCATTACAAGGAATGAAACAATGCCATTTGCAGCAACAAGGATGGAACCAGAGTGCGTCATGCTGAGTGAAGCAGGTCAGACAGAAAGAGAAGCACTGTATGACACCCCTTAAATGTGGAATCTAAAGAGAAATGATGCAAATGAACATACAGGACACAGAGAAGCTCACAGACTTAGAAAACAGACATGGCTGCTGGGGTGGGTGGGGAGTTAGGGGGTTTGGGATGGACAGGTTCACACCACTGTGTTTAGGATGGCTAACCAACAAGGAACTACTGTGTAGCACCTTAAACTCTGCTCAGTGTTATGTGGCAGCCTGGATGAGGGGGGTTTAACAGAGAACGGACGCTTGTGTACTTATGGCTGGGTCCCTCACTGTTCACCCGAAACTATCAGGAAATTGTTAACTGGCTACATCCCAGGATAAAAGAAAAAGTTCAAAAAAAAACAGAATCACTACTATGGTTCAGACACACTCATGGAAAAAACTGACTGAACCTAAATTCCACACTATATACTTTAATCTGTTCCAAGTAAGAGAATACAGAATAGCATGTTAGTACCAGGAGGAAATAAAAGATTATCTTAACTAGTTTATCTCAACTAGATAATAAAAGATTATCTCAACCATCACAAAGAGTGGGACAGGACTGCACAACTGAACAACAACAATTAGTTAAGAAAAAGAAAATACGAGAAAGAATGAAAGGGTAAGCCTAGCACAGGAAGTGAGGACAAAGCCCTCTCCTCCAATAAATTACAAATACTGCAGGCCTCTCTCTTCTCTCAGAAGGAAAGTTTAAAGCCCAATTTGCTTTTTATTCCCTACATTTTATTTTAACCTTCGATATCCACCCTTTAAAAATTTTCTAATACAAACAAGAATTATGTTACAGTAGTCCCAAAGTTTAATTGTTAGCTCTCAAAACTCAAGGGACTAATTTCTTAAAAGTCTAAACCCAATCTTGAAATAAAGTGCTAATGCTTCAAGATTTTAAAAATAAACTCTTCTCTTTCAATACTTACTCTTCATGAGAAAGTTTCGTTTCTTCCCTTTTTTTTGCAGAATAATTTAGGTTCCCACCTAAAATACATACAAGTGTGGAATTTTTTCAAGTGTGGAATTTTTTCAATATAACTATCAGCAGTAAAATTCAAACATGCATGTGCCAATGTGCACATGCACATATACATCTTAAAGTAACAAAAAAGCTATGGAAGGTGAGAAATAGTTTATCTCCTGAAAACTTCCAGAGGGGGAAAAAATGTTTTTTAAGAACCCTTATGTGATACAAATAATCACTCCTTAATGTTAGCATTTTTTAAGGAATTTGGACTTATGTATTGCTCAAGGTTTTGGAACACTGTACTATTAATAAGCAGTAAAAATTAAGAGACATTAAAAGAAATGACCTAAAATTATTTAAACATCATATATAGTCATCCTTCTAAATATATGACAACGCTTAGGGGCAAGCCAGTTTAGAAAAATTAATGAAGGTAATATAAAAATTTTATTAAGGACAAAAAATAAAAAAACAAATATAAGCAAATGAAAAAAATCTGTATTTCTCATTCTGTTATCAAACACTTTCAACCTTAAAATGCAAACTTCAGCCATAAATGTGTTTACTTCTCATTTTTAAAAAATATAAGACACAGGCTAAAACAGTCCTCACAGTTATACTTTAAAGTATATAGGAAAGACTTCAGGTTACTTTTTTTAAAAGTCATAATTCTTTATGAATATATAAAAATAACATCTAACAAGAAACTTAAACTGAAATGACCAGCAGGACAGAACAACAATTTTAATAAATAAATGTGAAGGTCCAGAATACATAATTATATGCTATGAAGGAAAATGTGTTTCAACACTATGAACAGAACGTTATTACATGAACTAAAGCACTGGCCTCTACAGGGGCATGGAGACAATCCAAGTGCCCCAAACAATTGTCCACTGTGGTTGATAGTTGGCAGAAAACAATAAAATTCTGTAAAGCAATTATCCTTCAATTAAAAAATAAATTAATTTTTTAAAATACCTCAGCTTCTCTTACCTTGGGCACGATTCACCACGTAGAGTAAGACGACAGCTAAAAGTGACACTGGAAGTGAAAAAAACATAGGGTCCTTAAAAGCATGTACTTTTCCCCAACGGTTCCTATGTAATCATAATTGCAGCCCCATGGACTGTATGTCGTAGAAGGCAATGGCAACCCACTCCAGTGGTCTTGCCTGGAGAATCCCAGGGACGGGGGAGCCTGGTGGGCTGCCATCTATGGGGTCGCACGGAGTCGGACACGACTGAAGTGACTTAGCAGCAGCAGCAGCGGACTGTATGTAGCCCGCCTGGCTCATCTGTCCATGGGATTTCCCAGGCAAGAATGCTGGAGTGGGTTGCCATTTTCTTCTCCATAAGATCTTCCCAACCCAGGGATCTGGAAGATAGGTGGATTCTTTACCATCTAAGCCACCAGACCAGGGAAGTCCATTAATTCATATACAGCCCACTATTTAAGAAGAAATAATATATTTTTAAAATGTGATGTGCTAATTTTGAGATAACAAAATGCATTCAGGCTAGTCATAGCAATCATCTGCAAATGCCACACTTTAAGTACACTCTTTATTCCTGTAAATGAAGTCAGATAGAATTATCAGTGGAGTATACCATTTTATTTTTTTTCCATTGATTTTTATTAGTTGGAGGCTAATTACTTTCCAATATTGTAGTGGTTTTTGCCATACATTGAGAATGTTTTTAATGTTCATTCACGCTGTAACATGTATCTATCTGTACTACATTCTTCTTTGCACTGTAATTAAAAATATGTAACATAACATTTACCATTAAAAAAACAAATATTTAGAACAGAATAGAAAGTAGATTCTATTGCTACCTTTATGGGTAGGGATCTTCTGAAAAGTGCCAATGAGTCTTCACAGAACTGGAAAGTCACTAGCTGGAGTGGGAAGTTACTGTATTACACGGGAGCTCAGCCCTGTGCTCTGTGGGTTTGGGGGACGGAGGTCCAAGAGGGAGGGGACCGGTGTATACTTATGACTGATTCACGCAGCTGCACGGCAGAAACCAACAAAACACTGTAAAACTGTTATCTCCAGTTAAAAATAATTTCTAAAACTAAGAGATCCAAAAAAAATAATACCAAAAAAAATCACTAGCTGGGAAACAGATGCACAACCTAAGAATTAAGCAAATGTGAGTGCAACACTTTAGGAATTTGATTTTTAAAAGGGAGAAAGAGAACAATAAAAACCTAGAAGTATAAATGAGGACATGTGCATGCTAAGTCACTTCAGTCATGTGACTCTGCAACTGAATGGATTGTAGCCCGCCAGGCCCCTTCAGGTTCTTCTGTCCATAGGATTCTCCAGACAAGAATAATGAAGCAGGTTGCCATCTCCTTCTCCAATAAACAGGACATTCTGCCACATATTAGAAGAAACTAAATGTTGCCAGGTGGCATACTTACAGGAAACACAGGCAATGAAGAAAACTTCTAAAAACAAGTATCCCCGAGTATCCAAGATCATTCCAGCAATGATGGAAATGACCGCCAACCCAAGATTCTGAATGGACTGCATGCTACAATTTAAGAAATTAAAAATATATATATATCAATTCTAAAGTCAGCATACACAAAATAGCAAGTCACTATAAATAATCATATGAATAAACCACATATTATCAATGCTAAGAGATGTTTTCAATCAGGAATGATCTGATTAGATTTTTTTTTCCCCATGACTGTTTCTACTACTTAACTTTAGGCTCACAGGTAAGGGAATCTGCCTCAGCAAGGGCAAGATGAATGTGACACCTTCCTGCTTAATGAGACAAAGGGCTAAGTGAATGTCAACCACAGATGTGGTTCCCCGCTTCGGCCTTTTGCACCAGAGACGACAGAAACCCAGCGTCTCACTGAGACGTCTACAGATAAACAGGCAGTAGGATGGTCAGCAAGCAATGCCCTCTTACGGGGTATCTTATCGCTAGCTCTCCTGTTAGGGGCTTGGGGAATTTTTTTGCCACAATAATAACACAAATAGATTAATGGACTTTTCTGGTTTTTTCCAGGGTCGGAGCTGTCCCAAAAGCCTGAAGATGACTAGATTCAAGAGATCTGGACTTTTATAAGATAATTAAATTGACACAGCAGAGAGAGACATTATATGACCCATGTGCACTTACAAGCCATATGCAGTTCCCAGTTGATGTTCAGGAACTACAAACGCCACCATTGGCCACAAGGCACAGGCGAGTAGTGAGTAGGAGAGTCCCAGGAGACACTACAGCAAGCAACACAGAAGAAAGCAAAAAACTCCTATTTACCAAAAGGTGATTTTCCTTTGATGCAGATGAGCAAGAGTGACATAATAACTAACACATGCATATCCACACAAGTTGCATTACAAAATAACTAGGCTAAAACTCACATTCAATACAGAAAGGTCCTGGCCCCTCACTAACAGTATTCCTCCAGTGACAAAATACACCAAGTAAGAAAATAAAGCTAATTTGTAAAAAGTCATTACCAATGTCTTAGGCAAGCTAATGTTCCAGTATTCATTAGGAATTACAAATTAAGCAATCATGGTAACATCATGCCAGTAGCCTATTATCTTACCTCTGGGTCATCACCACCCATCTAGAGAGCCGGGCACACAACCAGTAACAATCACTGCTCGTAAACATCACCTACTGCTAACTTTTTCTCCAATTAAAGAAGAAACTTTATGATTTAAGCCAAAATAAGATCACTCATCATTAATCCCTATCAAATTGGCAACAATTAAAACAATGCCAGTGTCCAACATAGCAAGGACACTTAATAAAAAAAACAGACACATTCATATATTATTGGTAAAGCTCTAAATGGGTAGAAAGTCATTACAGGAGAGGGTTCACAGTATCCATCAAGATGTTCAATGTGCAAAACCTCTGCTCTAGCATTTCTACCTCTAGGAATCCATCCCACAGACTTCTCACCAAGGGCACAAATATATAGATTCACAATATTCTTTTATTAACAGGTAAGAAATACAGCACTTCAGCCTGTGGCCTTAAAAATGACATTTTTGATGAACAATAACAAAAACTTGATGAATTCATCATGACTCTTTGACCTATTAAGAGTCAGAGACAAAAAAAAGTGTAAAATCATGGATACTGGGCTAAATGATGGAATGACTTCTCTTAATGAAAAACACATGGAACTAATAGGCATTTTGGCTTTTATATGACTATTTTATTTCAAATTCTCCATTAGCATTGAGAGTATTATGCAGCCAAATGAAATCAAAAAGACTTTATGTATCAATGACCGTTATTTATATACTTTAAAAAATAGTTATCCTGTGGAAACTGAAGTCAAGTCACTCTTTTCCCCACTCTCAGCAGCACTGCAATCAGAGAGCCGAGCGCGGCTTCTGCCCCAGGCGGCAGAGTCCTCCCTGGGCCCCTCAGCATCAGCACCCACGTTACCATAGCGATCCAGGGGTTCCACAGCGTGAAGGCCAGCATGACGTGCGAAGCAAGCGTGGTCACCACTGCACACAAAACCCAGATGATGTTCTTTCCTGTTTTATCCACCAGAAGCCCAAATATTGGGGACATGGGAGCTGATATTACGTATACGATACTGCCCAGAAAATACAAAAGATACTTAATGAAAGACATCACAGCAAAAAAAAAAAAAATCCCAAAGTCCTTAATTCTAAAATTCCTAGCTCATTTAACATTCTTCTAAAATGGTCATCAGTAAATAGAAATATAAAGAGATAAAAGTGATCCAAGACTTCGCTGGTTTTCCATTAATGAAAAGATGGCTATTTTCAGGATCAAGACCCAAGACAGACTTGGATTCACACTGTAGACGTTAGCTCACTAAGTCTTTTCTGGCTCTAACACAGGGTTATAATGAAAGACCCACACTGAGCATACAGTAAGCATTTACAGAATTAATGGAATACCTGTTAATAGCACTGGCTACCTGGGAGGAAAATCCAAATTTCTCTGTAAAGAAAACTCTAAAATAAAGAGAGAGGGGGGAAAAAAATAAACCATTTAGAACTATTCTGTTTTTGTAAAAATAAAAGCAAAATAATACTGAATAAAATAGTCAACTTCTCCTTCTTTCTAAACTGTTTTCCCATCTTATTTGATATTCATCTTCGAGCAACTGGCTAAAGCTTTAGTATTTATCTAAGTACTTCAGCAACTAAATAAAATACACTGATGCCTAATTTTTCCTCTTTTACGTATACAGAAAACAATACACACAAATTTTCAGAAACCCAAATGTATTACTATATGAAATCAAGATGGCTTCTTTTCCTTAAAAGCAATACGTGATGCGTCCTTTGCTAAATAATGTAAAAGGCTCCTCTCTCAAACTGTAAAATGAAAGACTGAATTTAAGGGTTATGATTACAAAGATGCTTCTCCACAAACACATACACTGCTCTGTTTAAGTGACAGTGAAAGTCGCTCAGTCGTGTCTGACTCTTTGCAACCCCATGTACTATACAGTCCATGGAATTCTCCAGGCCAGAATACTGGAGTGGGTAGCCTTTCCCTTCTCCAGGGGATCTTCCCAACCCAGGGATTGAACCCAGGTCTCCTGCACTGCAGGCAGATTCTTTACCAACTGAGTCACAAGGGAAGCCCACTCTGTTTAAGTAGGTGCCTACAAAAACACAAAGGAGGTAGGAGATAAAGCAAAGAATTTGATTTAAACCCTGAATTTGAGTCTGCTAGAACTGCAGTCCTAACAAATGGAGATGTGCCTTGTCACTATGAGCTAATACACTGTCTCCTTTCTCAGTAAGAGACTTCCTAACAAAACAATAAACAGGAAACAAAGAAATCAAATCCAAAATCAAGCATTGAGATAAATCAGTATTATGAATCAAAAACTGTAATTAGGTATTTCCTCAAAAACCTGATCCAAGTATTAAACCAATACTAAATCTTAAGCTATGGCTTCCTGGGTGGCTCAGTAGTAAAGAATCTGCCTGTCAATGTAGGAGATGCAGGAAAAGTGGGTTTTATCCCTAGGTCAGGACGATCCCCTGGAGGAGGGCATGGCAACCCACTCCAGTATTCCTGCCTGGAGAATCTGTCAGAGGACCTTGGCGGACTACAGTCCATGGGATCGCAAAAGAGTCAGACACAGCAAGTGACTGAGCAAACAAACCTCAAGCTAAGAAAAACAGTTGTATCCCAGGATGTAAAACAATTTATATGAACATACTAACAACCAGAGAAGCAAAATTTACAGCTTAAAAATTTACACTTATATGATTAAATTCTCATTATAATTTAGCCAACAAAAATGGAAAGATAGAAATTACTCACTTTCCAAGTCCAATGAAAGGGAAGATAGCGACATAATAGCAGACACAGATGATAAATATAAGCCACAGGGGTAATGAGAAGTCCTTCACATCAGTTAACTTGATCACTTCACCTGAGAGGAGAAAGGAGTGATGTTGTCAGTGCAATTCTGCATTTCTAAGTCAAGATTCTTTTTCTTTTATCACCTGATTAACTTTTGCAATTCAGTTAAAAAAAAAAACTTTTCTCAGTAAATTACTAGAATACAGCTTTGGGGATAATTTTAAAAGACAATAGAAAAATGTAAAATCTAAGATTAGTATCTATCTTCTTCCTCTCCTCCAGGAACACTTATCATTTTGCAAATATACAAAGTACAATCAAGAAGGTAAATTCTGCCAAAACCACTTACAGGGGGGAAAAAATGTATCCAAAACTTTAGACAAGTGGAAATAGATTTGGAAATAAAAGATTTAAATCGACTATACACTGATATAAATTTTTAAAAAGTCTAAGTGGAAGAAAAAGATTTAATAAACATGTATTATTAAGCCTCACTGGGTTTACGACATTACTATTAAGAACTTACCTCATTGTAAATTATCTCAAAAAGGCCATAATTCCCAAAAGCCTAAGTTTTCTTGCATTTAGACTAACCTGTTTTTCCTTGTTCTTTATGAAGGATTCGTCCTGCTCTCTGATCCAAGTAAGCAAGAGCCAAGGCACAGACAAGTGAAAGAATACATGTTATACCCCCTATAATATATAAGAGAGAGAGATTTTTTTTAGAGAACCAAGCTGAAGGTTCCTAAAAGGCAGCACTTTACGTTAACAGCAGAAAACTTAGCCATGGAAAGGGATGGCATCTGGACACATATATGAAAAAAACTACAATTGCTAAATCAGGACAGAAGGAAAGGAAGTGCAAATGGGAAGCACTCAACACATAACAGTTGCTATTACTATATATTAATTATTTCCCAGTAGAAGGTTGGAGATTAGAAGGAAAAGGCTAGAATGCACTAGTCTAGTCTTATAATCAGAATACAGATAAAACAAAGCCAATGACCAGCTAGCAAATTAGTCAGAATTTCTTAATTCAGTCTAAGCACATTATTGATGGATACCGGGGCAGGGGAATAGGATAGACTTGCAAAAGCAAAGTCTGATCCTATGATCAGCTCATGTTCCTTCTGACTCCTTCCCAAGTCTAACCCCAGCCCCTTGGCAGCCCCAAGGGCACCAGCCCTCCCACAACACAGCCCACTCACTCTCTCCTCCATGCAGTCAGCATTACTCACTGATGCTGACTCATATCATTAAAGCGAATCAGAATAGAGAGTGAAGAAAGTTTACACTTCTCAAGATTTTAATAAAAAGAAGTTTAGTAAAGCTAATGAATCTTTAATTGGCTGATGCAATATGACATAATATGAAAGACTGCAGGGTCAGGAGATGTGGGTTCTGCTTCTGGCACTAACAAGCTGACTGATCTTGGGCAAGGAATTTAACCTCTCTAGGCTTCAGTTTTCCCATCTGTAAAATAAGCAGCTTTGACTTGATGGCACAGATCTTTCCTGGCTCTAAAATTCCTTAAAATTTATTCTCGAATTCTCCATCGTGGAGGGAACTAGAAAGAATACTGAAGAGCATTTGGAAGTAAAAAAAAGCTTTTGAGAGGCGAAGGATTTGAGAGGGAGGGGAAGGGAGGAGGGGTTTCTAGAAACAAGCTGCCCGTCTAGCATTACCTCTCACTACACCCCAGTTCGATTCCTGGGTCGGGAAGATCCCCTGGAGGAGGGATAGGCTGACCACTCCAGTATTCTTGGGCTTCCCTGGTGGCTCAGGGCGTAAAGAATCTACCTGCAATGAGGGAGACCTGGGTTCGATCCCTGGGCCAGGAAGATCCCCTGGACGTTATAGCAACCCATTCCAGCATTCTTGCCTGGAGAATCCCCATGGACAGAGGAGCCTGGCGGGGGCTACAGTCTGTGGGTTGCAAAGAGTCGGACACAGCAGTCCCTTCACCAGCCTGTACCAAGGAACTGTAAGGAATAAAAGACGGCACAGAGCCTGCAGCTCGCCACCCACAAGTCTCCCCAGGGCTCTGCAAGCAGTCCTCCACACCCCACGGGGCTCAGTTAGACAAATTTACCGCACAGAGAAGCACAGCCAGTGAGTCAAGAGAGTCTCATCGGCTTCTCACTGACCAGCTGGCAGCCAGCACGACCGAGCCTTAGCCACCAGCACTTGGGGCCAGAGGTGATCTAAGTGGCTGAGTCAAACAGCCACACTTCTACAGAAAACTAAGACGTGGAGGTTAACTTCCTTGTCCAAGATGAGTCAGGACCAGAATCCAGACTCTGGGCTCCCAACCTGGTAGGTTTCTAATCACATCCTATCACCTCTGACATCTACAAAATCGACGTTTCATAAGCAAACTGAATGTGATCAAAGGGAAAAATTCTCCCTTTTGCTACAGGCTATTAATGAACACCTTACAGGGAGGTATAAACCCCCCGACTGTTTTCAGATCTCACGTATACTCTCATCTGTTCATCACAGCAACACTGAAGCACCCATGGGACAAGATCCTCATTTTAAGAAAGTGGAAATAAAAACACAAGTGGGATGAACGATGCTACTATGTTCACTATGTCTAATTAGGTCCAAGAACTCGTGAATTGTGCAGGCACAACTATAACCAAGTGGTCTAACCTGGGTTCCCCTCTCTGTCATACCACTTTGCATAAGAAGCTTTCAGAAGAGACAAAAAATGGGACTTCAGGATTCACTAACCAATCATAAGTGTGACCCCAAGGGTTGTGTGACCAGCAGAACCCAATGAAGCTGCGACCTTAGAATACAGCCATCCCATGAGGTTCATGTTGACTGTGCTTCCCTGGAAGAAAAAAAATCATCATCATTTTCATTTGTATCTGTCCTGCTTAAAAGAAAAGATGTGAGTAGCTTAGAGTAATAGGTATAATAGGGATCATTAAACAACAGATAATTAAAAAAAAACACTACAAGGAAAAATAACCACCTAAGATAAAGCCACAGCTAAGATTACTACACAAAACTGGCAATTTATAGAAAATGCTAGTATTCAGAACAGCACAGTATGTCTAGAACTTCCTAGTAGCCCAAACAAAAATAAAACACAAGTTACAGAGTTTACAGGTTACCCAAGACAATAATAATCTCTGGCTCAGACAAAGCACAGCTTTTCCTGATAGTGACATCTGGGGAAAAAATTCATCCTCTGATTGTCCTTGGCGTGGCGTGCTGTCGTGTCTGAGGCTCTGTGGCCCCATAGACTGCAGCCTGCCAGGCTCCTCTGTCCATAGGATTTCCCAGGCAAGGTTACTGCAGTGGGTTGCCATTTCCTTTTCCAGGGGATCTTCCCGACCCAGGGATTGAACCCGAGTCTCCAACAAGTCTCTTGCATCGCCGACTGATTCTTTACCACTGAGCTACCTGGGAAGGCCATATCAAATAGCAATACATGTTTCCTTAACAAATAAGGAGAAAATAAAGCATGGAAGGAGAGTAGAAAGGGGCGGACACCTTGCTGAGAATGTGACTGCGGATTGAGAACTTGAAGGAAGCTGTGGGGCCGCCCCGGGGAAAAGCGCAGCACTCCAGATGGGAGACAGTCAGTGACCTGGCCCCGAGAGGGAGGCCAGCCGGCGTGCTCAAGGCAAGGAGCACAGCTTCTAGAGCGGCGTCGGCGAAGCAGACAGGAAGAGATGAGGCCCTCAGGGAGGGGCTGGGAGGAGGCAGGCTACTGGCAATCAAAGAACTTCTGGCTTTTCCTGTGTGAGATGGGAAGCCACTGGAATTCTAAGTAGAGAACTGGTACAATCCCTTACATTTTAACAGACTCACTCTGGCGGCTATACTCAAAACACCCTACAAGTGAGGATGACACAGAAGCCAGAACATTGGCTGGGGGCTGCTGCCATAATAAAGAAGAGAGATGACGGTCTTGGACTGGGGAGACTGGTAGAGGACACAACGAGAAGCGATCAGATTGCAGATACATTCTGATGGAAAAACTACAGGATTTGCTACTGGAAAATATGTGGAGAGTTGAGAGAGTGGTAGGGAGTGGTTCCCAGTGACATCAGTTTTTGCCTGAGAAACTGGAAGAAAAGAGCTGCTCACAACTGAAAAGGAGAAACCTTTAGCATGAGCTGGTTTGGGTGATGGGAGGTGGAACAGCAAGAGCTGGGCTCTGGCTGTGTTCAGTTTGATATGCCTACGAGCATCCACATGGAAATGTCAGCAAGAAAGCTACACATGAGGGATGGAATTCAAAGGAGAGGCCTGGACAATACAACTTCAGGAGCAAAGGCATGCTATTTAAAACTTCAAAACCAGGTAAGATTACCAAGAAGTGAGTGTCAAAAGAAATGAGGTGTCCAATGACCCAGCCCACATTACAGGTTGAGAAGACTGAGAGGGACGCAGCAAAAGAGGAAGCAAGAAGAAAACGATAAGACTCTAGGGTCCTTGAAGCCAAGAGAAGAAATCAAGGAAGTGTTCTAAACACTACTGCTAAGAAACACTACTGAGAAACGAACGGGTCCTCAACCAGATTCTCACAGCAAAGTGCACAAATGGCTATTTCTCACAAAACAGTAGCCAGTGGCACTACTCAGACGAGCATTAGGTATAAATGAAGACCTACCAGAAATTTTCCTCAGTATCATCGAAAATACAAGCCTCTCAAAGACATGTTGTCTTAATAACCCTTTAAATCTAAAAATGCCTAACGTGACCTGGCTTAGCAAGTACTCAATAAATATTTCTTGAAATAAGGAAATTTTAAAAGTAACAAAGAAGAACCAAGAGGCTGCTGCACTTCCAACCCCCAGGTGAGGCATGAGAAATAACAGAAGTGAGAAGTCCACTGCCTGAAGGGTAATGGTAACCGCCCAAGTGTTTAGAATCAGACAAACTCCCAACTCAGCCAACAGAAAAATCATGATGAGGTAAAGCCGGAACCTCCACGATCCTTCTGATTAGTGCAGAGACGTAAGAAACACAAAAAAAGCCTGAACCTCCACCTACCCCAGCAGCTCTGATGGACTCCTCTGGTCTCACGCGTCTCACAGGGACCCTAAATACACCATCCAGACCAGAGCCCAGCCACCCTGGCTGTTGCAGAGGTTGGCTGCCTGGGCTCTGCTTCACTCCACGTCCAGCTCGGGCCCCTTGCATCTGGTAAGCCCTGCATCACAGAGGTCCCCGAGACACCTTGTGAGAAACTCAGGGCTCCTCAAGATGAAGGTGAATGGATTATTAACTAGTTTGTGACCACAAAGAAAAGAACCTGAAGACCACTAGTAACCACAGTGGCATCACTGAGAATGAGCCTTGCTCAACTGCTCCTATTTCCTTCTTCTAGGAGTTACTGGATGAGATCCACCAACTGCTATAGACATGTCTTGATTTGCACAAGATACATTATGAAGCAGCCAGAATGTCTCTGTGGATAAAATTTAGAAAACGTGGAAAACCACACTAGTTATCAAAGGTAAAAAATTAAAGTAATACTTGGCTGTTTCCTATCCAATTGACAAAATGACTTTTAAAAACTAATAGCCTGCACTATCAAAGCTACAGTAAGAAGGATCCTCCCATATCCCAAAGACAGAGATAGAAACATCTCTGAAAAGATAAGGTAGAAATATGTCTCAACAGTTCTAAGAAACCCAAACAAACCCTCTGACTCAGTAATAATTCCATTCCGAGCAATCTAGCCTCAGGAAACAATCAGAGATACAGACAAGTTTTGGAGTGTCACTGCACAACAGCTATATTTATAATACTGGAAAACTAGAAAAAGCCCACGTGTACAAAAATTAGAAATGTTTTCTATATATACAACACACATATGTGTAATATATTTCATAAGATGAAGCATTACATTAAAAATATTTCATTTGTACTGCATTTTTTTGTACTGGATTTCTTCCCTAAGACTATGTTCCAAGGATTTTCATGCCATTTACAGTCTTTAAAATCTTGACTTTTTTTTTTTTTAAATCTTGACTTTTAATGGCAAGAATCTTTTTAAAAACCTCCATTCATAAAGAGTTCATGAGGAAAAAAAAACCTAACAGGATTTGGGATGGCCAAAACACCTTCCAGGTTGAGTTTATAACAACATAATGTAGCTCTCCTGGGTACCCTTCTACCAGACCGCCTATCATGAAACACCGTGATCATTTCCAGGTTCCAAATGCTGGAAGGAGCATGACCACCCACCGTGAAGTGCAGAGAGGTGGGAGCACCACAGTCATGGAACTGAAACCCAGGCCACATGGTTTAGACAAGCACAGGAAATGAGTATGTCTGACCAAGACCTTCAGATCTGTCTATGTAGGCAAAATGCTAGTGCCTGACAGAGAAAATAAACACTCACTAGAAGGCAAAAGTCCAACAATCAGTAAAAGCTACTTGTGCAGGCAGATCTTGTCTCTACGGGAGGCTGAGCTTCACTAAGTTAATTGTAGTTGGGACTTCCCTGGTAGTCCAGTGGCTAAGATTCCATGCTCCCAATGCAGGGGACCCAAGTTCAATCCCTGGCTGGGGAACTAAGATCCACATGCTGCAACTTAGAGTTCACATGCTGCAAGTAAAGAACCCACGTGCCACAACTAAGACCCAGAGCAGCCAAATAAACAATAATAAAAATAATGTATTTGGATGCTTTTTATAAAGTGACATGACTTTGAGAATTTGTTTAAAAAACAAAAAATTAACTGTAGTAGATGAATGAGACCTTCTTATCACTAGAAATATGCAAGCAGCGCCTGGATGACCATACATAAAGACTTCCACTGCAGTAATGCCGAAAATGGGTAAAGAAGTTAGAGAATAAAACCTCTGTGATCCGTCTGTCCCAATGCTCAGAATCTCTGAACTAACGAATGCTCAATTAGCATTTGAAACTGCTTCCTCTTAGGTGAAATAAGATTAGAAATGCCTTCACTTAAAGGTAAATGGTACATTATGGTCTAGAAAAATATATTAAAAAAACCAACACAACTTGTACACAAATATATTTCATCCTGTTATCTTTAAGACATGGTTACAAGAGTCAATCTTTTGCCTCCTATTTGGCTTCGTTATCTGTCATACTTACAATTCTTGCCATGCTAAGTTGGAGTCCAAACACCAAGTTTAACTCTTTGCCTTTAAACCAGCTCACAGCATATGTATTCTGGGCAACTGCTAAGGACTCCCCACCAATCCTAAAATAAGGAAAGAAAAGTCACAGCTTTTAAAAGAAATACCATAGTTAGCAAGGCAGCAGGTGTAAGATTTTGACACTCCTCCTGTCAAGAGATAGTGTCTACGCCCCTCCTCTGAATCTAGATGGGCTTGTGATTGCTTCAACGAGTAGAAGGTGGTGGAGGTGGGGCTGGGATATAAAGGGGGTATCTGCCTTTTCACTCAAACGCTCACACTTGGAACCCTGAGCCACTGTGTAAGACGTCCAGCTGCCCCGAGTCCCCCACACTATGAGAAAGCCAAGCCACACAGAGGGCCACATGCAGGTGCTCCAGTCGGCAGGGCCAGTCCTCGAGGCATCCCAGGCCAGGCTCCAGACATCAGGTGCAGACACACCGTCCACACTGTGCGCAGTCCAAATTTCTAGCCACGAAGGCCACCCTGTAAGGGCTGTTTCGTAACCAAGCAGGACTTATGGGGCCTTCCTGGGACAGGCCTTCACCTGTATCCTGTGCAGGAGCTCCTCTCTGAAGGACACAGATGATAGTATTTGGTACGGACTTCCTGAGCTGTGTAGCAGACGGGAAAACTGCTCCCACCAAAAGGAAGTACTCGATGACCATGAGCACACAGCCCAGGAGCCTCAGTCCGGGAGCCGAAGGACTGACACAGCTAACCCGTGACACCACCCTACTGCCTCCCGTCGCCACCACCCATCATCAGCCAGTAACAGAATTGTACTCGAGCTGACCAGGTACCCTGAGACAGCCCCGCTTCGTCTGTCTTTCAAAATGCTTTGCCAAAACCCTTCCAGGAGCATGAAGCTTTTTAGGGCATGAGCCACCTCGTCTCCTTGCACAGCCCTGCAGTATACCTTCCTCTGCTCTAAACGCCTACATTTCACTGTACCTCACTGGGCATCAGGCACACAAACCTGCGTTCATAGTTTTACACTGTTTAGTACAGGTAATTTAATATACTGCGATGACAACCCTGCCTGGCAATAAAAGGAGTTTGAGCTACCACATCATCATCTACACTGTATAAAATGCTCATCCGGGAAGAGTGGTCCATACTTTGTGAAAACACACAGATTCACACTTTTTAGGCCAGTATCTTCCATATGTGACATTCTCCTACTTTCCAGATTTTAATTTTCCTTCTGCAGGTTCTAAATATTGACCTTCAGGTAAGAGATTCCTCTTCTCTGCATTCAAACACTGAGTCCTCCTCACCACTGTCCTCATCTAAATATATTTCCCCTCTTCTATGAATCCAAATCCTATATGGATGCCCATTTCTGATCACACATCTACCTCTGAGTTCCTTTCACATTTTAATAAACCGTTTTTCCCTTCTCCCTCACTTAGAGCACTTTTGGGGATGTGTCACCTATGGCTACTGGTCCCTGGTACCTGTAAAAAGCGTAAGTTAGGTTGTCTGCATCCCTCCAGGCAGGAAGCCCAAGGCTTAATTGAGAATGAGCTTACAGAACAGACACTGAAATTCACTGAGAGGTACTGGTCTTTTAGTAATCTGCTCATTAAAGTCTTTTCAACAGGATTCAAAAGGACCTACACATTATTCCCTAAGAAACAGAAAAATGTACATTAATCACCAAGCTAGAAATTGATGGTCTACACTTTTCTACATGAGGTTTAAATCACAGTCTTCAACACAACAGAAAAGCAAAACATCTAAGAAAAACATCATCTCTGGAAAACTATTTAATATTCAAAGCCTATACAGAGTTAACTGTCACCACTCAAAATTCTTGCTTACTGTAAAGGAAAATTAAGACAACAATTGAGCAGTTGTGTGTGTCTGTGTGTGTGTATATACAGACACACAGACACACAGACACACACACATATATATATATATATAGAGAGAGAGAGAGAGGTAGATTTCAAGAATTTGAAGTAATTCTCCAGAAGATACAATAATATATTTTGGCAAATCTTTAATAAATTGATAAATGAACACTAAACAGCAATGTGTGCATGTGTTCAGTCGCTCAGTTGTGTCCAACGCTTTGCTCCATGGACTCCAGCCCACCAGGCTCCTCTGCCCATGCAATTTTCCAGGCAAGAATATTGGAGTGGGTTGCCATTTCCTCCTCCAGAGGATCATCCCCACCCAGGGACCAAACCCATACCTCCTGAAATTCTCCTACATTGCAGGCAGATTCTTTCTTTACCACTGAGCCCCCTGGGAAACCCCCCAAACAGTAATATGTTAAGACAAATGAAATTATGCATAACTTACCCAAACACAAACCTTCCCAATTCCATCAGCCAAAAAGCATTAAATATTCCACCCAGGGCAAAAACAACCTATAACATGGAATATAATGTAGGATCAATGAAAAAGAAAATTAAAATTCAAGGCATCCAAAATAAGTAACATATAATGAAACACAACTTCTACAATGATTTTAGTGTTTCTTCTTAGTAAATCTGTGAAATTTAAGTATCAATGTTCATCTGTCTTGAAGCTTAAAATGGACTGTGCATTATGTCACATGGGCCTGTGTGAACTCTGCTTAATTAAGCTAGGCTTTCACCAAACACATCCATGCTGATGGAAGTAGACAAGTATTCAAGAGACAGCATCCACACTGAATCAGTGAACAATTTGTCTTACCTGCCCAACGCAAACAAAGCAACTAAAAATAATGGTGCCCCATCTGTTAGAAAAAGAGAAAGAAAGTGAATTAAGAGTTTATCACCAAATCCTTCAGTAATAATTCACTTTGGATTTCTTGGACTCCTCTGCATTCCCTCCAAAGGAAGAAAAATGAGGTTCTGGTTGGCCTCTGAAATCAGCAGCTTTCCAAGGCTGAATGCTAATCCATAGAGGTCTCGAATCCCAAAAGGATTCCAGAGGCTTTGGTAAGGGCATGTCTGTTTAAGTCATTATCATCTCTTAAACAAAACTTGTTAAATAATCTTCTCCCAGGGTTCCCATTTAAAAATGGACATTCTTCACAAATATTTTATTGAGTTTAGGGTTGATTCCAAGGAATTCTATTAAATAATTTTAAGTTGTTTTAACTCTGTATGCTGCTGCTGCTAAGTCGCTTCAGTTGTGTCCGACTCTGTGCGACCCCATAGACGGCAGCCCACCAGGCTCCATCGTCTATGGGATTTTCCAGGCAAGAGTACTGAAGTGGGTTGCCATTGCCTTCTCAGCTAATTCTGTATAACCAAAAGCTATTTTTAAAAGGAAAAACAGGGACCATGAGAAATGATATAAATCTGCTTACTCTAACATTCCACATTCTGAATAGCTCATTAATGTTTCCCCAGAGTAATAAAATACCAGTATTAGGAGAGTCATTAAAGATTATATGAGTAAACCATCCTTCTGAAATCCCAGTCCCTCCAAAAATCCTTGTGCAATGGTCATACCACAGCCTACTGAAAGTTTTCCCAAAACAACTCATGATCAAGCAGAATCTTCATCACACATAAATAGCATCTGTTTCCTTCAAGTTCAAGCCAATTCTACCCCTTTAGACCAAGCAAATTAAAGTCCTCCTTTATACACTCAGCAAAGTGTTTAAAAGTTAGTCCCCAAGCTTAAACACATATAGTTTCTTCAATTCTTTCACCACACATGGCTGGAAAGCACATGGTCATTTTGCCCTCTGCCTTCTGAAAATGTTCCAGACTACATTCCTCCTAAAGTCTCCACAAACAGCACATAATCATCAGGATGAAAACTGACAGAGCTAATAATGTGATGCCTTCCTCAGCATCTAACTGGAGTGGTCACAAAAAGTTTAATGCCTAAAGAAAGACAGAAGAGAAAATCTCACTGGGGCTGGGAAAGGTAAACAGTAAATACATGCCAAATATGTGCATCTATCTCCCTCAATCCTTATGACCACCTTGCAAGGCAGGAAATACTATCCATATTTTACCAATGAGGAAACTGAGGCTCAGGAAGCTAGGAACAGATCAGAAGAACTAAGAAGCTGAGCAAGTGGCAGCCAACAGAAATCAGAACCTGGCTTGCTGATTCCAAGTGAGAGCATAATTTACCTTTAGATAACTGAGTTTCCATACGCCATTAGCAGCATTTAACTGAAATATCAACCAAGTTTCAAAAACCAAAATCTCACACACACACACACAAATGCAGATTAACACACTCAATACACAAGTTTATTCAGTTCTTTCTAGAAATACTTAATCTAGTTTTGTGTTTTCTTAATAATCATATTTACCCGTAAGTGAGATTTTTCCCAAGCTTACCGTATTCCAAATACTCGGTCTATCAAAAAGCCACCGAAGAAACACAAAACTACATTGGGCCAAGAATACCAGGCATACAGCAGCATGAATTTCGTGGTATTCACCTGCATATCCTATATGGAAAGAAAACAAAACAATTTTTTTCAAAGCACTTAAGTGTAGCAATCAAAACATTCTTTCTGGTAGTGGAGGCATTTCTTAATCATTTACTGTTACTATCAGCTTTGGCCTCCACCTCCAGAAAAATGGTCACACCTGGGAACTTCTTGAGTCTGCAGTCATTTCACAGGCTTCATGGAGTTCAGCATCCATCAGCTCTCACACTGTGGGGATCACGTCTGCCTACATCTGCCTGTACCTTCTACATTTCTATTCCCTGTGTGTTACCTGCTGTGGGCCTTCACCAACATGAAAAAGGACAATCTTTAGCGTATCCTTTCCTCCTACCTCACTAATTCTTGGTCTTTCTCATTCATTCTAGAATGTGAAGGGCCAATCTGTGTATTTCTTCCTATCCAAAGGTAAAAAAAAAAAAAACTTACAAAGGGAAAAAAAAATCTAAATACATAGGAAACTGTAAATATCAAAAATACTGATATGGAAAATCCTCTGGAATCAGTATCCACATTTTAAAAATGAAATAACAATTAACATATTTAAGAAAGCAAAATGCTCTCCTACCAAATCATCTGTGATTCTGATGATTACACAGTGGGAGAGAGAAATGCCAACAAAAATTCACAATACTTCTTGGGTTGTACTGTGGAAATAGTATATATTTATCTAAGGTATGAAACAATATCAAGTCGTAAGTGCCATACATGAATTCTCTGTGGCTACTCATTCCAAGTCAAGAATACTCCTTGCCCTCACAGATTCGGTGACAACAGATGTTCAAATGGATTCATTAGACAATGTTTTGGACCATGCAATCTGAGAGTTGATGCTTCAGCAGTGTATCTGCTCCAGAGCCAACAAAAGAAACAAAGGTGAAAAGTTAACTTACCCGTTTAACTTGAATCTGAAGGGCAGCAGGATTATCATAGCAAAAGTAGCTGCCTAGAAAACGGAAAAGCAAATTTCTTTTTAGTAATACTTTCCATATAAAAGTTTCAAGTTGCAATTACTACTCCAATAGTGATTTGCAATGTTTATACTAGGGACTCAAGGAAACTGGAAACTCAAAAAAAAAAAAAAAGAAAGAAACTGGAAACTCTTTTGGACTGTTTCTTGTCCATTAAGACTTTTTAAGTTGCAGCCAAATAACCCAGAGAAAACATACCAAGTTATTTACAAATTATTGACCTGCATACCGGAGGAGGCAATGGCACCCCACTCCAGTACTCTTGCCTGGAAAATCCCATGGACGGAGGAGCCTGGTAGGCTGCAGTTCACGGGGTCACTAAGAGTAGGACAAGACTGAGCAACTTCACTTTCACTTTTCACTTTCATGCATTGGAGAAGGAAATGGCAACCCACTCCAGTGTTCTTGCCTGGAGAATCCCAGGGACGGGGGAGCCCGACGGGCTGCCGTCTACAGGGTCGCACAGAGTCAGACATGACTGAAGTGACTTAGCAGCAGCAGCAGCCTGCATACACAGCAAATACTGGGAACCTGGATTAAGAAGTTAATCAACAACTGTTTTTCCACCGTGAAAGTGAAAGTCGCTCAGCTGTGTCTGACTCTTTGCCACCCCATGGACTACACAGCCCATGGAGTTCTCCAGGCCAGAATGTTGGGAGTGGGTTGCCATTCCCTTCTACAGGGGATCTTCCCAACCCAGGAATCAAACCCAGGTCTCCTGCATTGCAGGCGGATTCTTTACCAGATGAGCCCTAGGGAAGTTGTTTTCCACCTTACTTTCTTTTTTTTTTCCCCACCTTACTTTCATCCTGTTTCCTATGTCTATTGTTTTATTAGCATATTCATGAAACAGCTATACTTTCCTTAAAGCTACCGACACACAAACACATGAAAAATGTCAAAAACATCCTCAGCAGTTTCCTAGTAATGTTACCTGAAGCCAGCACTTGAGCGCACAGGAATGGAGTTTAACTACTGACTAGATCTGTTTTCAAAATAAGAATTATAATTCCACAAACAGTATATCCAAGATCAAATAACTCAGGAAATACACAGCCAGGAATGAGGAAAAATAAAATAGAGCTCTAAAAGGTTAAATTAAGACATAGTAACATCTTCTGGAGGGTCAGAAAGAAAGAAGTGGAGAGAGGTTGGACTTTTTACAGTAATAAAATCGACACAGTTTTGATAGGCCACGAGATAATGTTGTCTCTGTTTCTCCACTAACTGTCTAGAAGTATACACGAGAAGCCACCAGTTCAAAAGAAATAAAATTGTCATTAGAAAAGTTATGACTCTGGCTTCTGAAACCCACTGAAGGTAAACATAAAAACCATTAAAAATAAATTGTTAAAGTAGGGGCAATTTTAAGTGTCTTGTGTTGTTCTTGATTTTTTGTTCCTAAACTCAGAACTTTATGAATCCTGCTTTAATGGCTGTAAGGAATATCAATGCCAGGCTTCAAAGTTAATGAATGGGCACCATCTTTCCACAAAGTGAGAAGACGGGGAACAAAAAGAGATGCAAAGAAACTAAAGCCCAAAGCAGCCTCCATGCCTCCTTATATATTCCAGCAGTAGATAAAGGTATCCACCATAAACCTGCTGATTACACCAAATCCAGCGAGTCCGCGAAAAATACATTATTACTTTCATACCAAGCTGATGCTGACATAGGATGTTACTGGAAAAAATTAGTTGCTGGGACATAATAAGCGGATATTTTAAAAATTATCTCCAGAAACTGCTTTCAGTCACCAAATTTCGTAACTGAAACCAAACAGCACAAGTCCAGTCCAGTATGATTGCTTCACATTAGCAGCGCGGAGGAGTACAAGAATACATCTACCCACTGAAGCAATCAACAAGACACACTCATACATTTTACCAAAGAGGAAGAGAAACATAAACGACTGCCAACGAATACTTCAATCAAAAAATTTAAAGTATTCTTTAAATACTTTAAAGTATTTTTGGAGGCTTCTTTGGGGGAGGGGATTACATCTTTCTCAATTCCCTCTAAACCAAGTGTCATGAGAGGAACCTTGACATCTAGGGGTTCTCTCGTATCTAAAGCCCCAGAAGGCAAATTGCTAGCTTTTGGAACTTCTTGCGAGAGCAAATGAGCAGGACAAAAGTCACTCAGCTCGGTCCCCTGACCCCCCACCTTCGGGACACTGAAGAGCCTGCAACAGGGTTGAATGGGGGTCGCGAAGGTGGGGGAAAAGGGGGCGGGAGGACCCTGGAGCTCAACGCAACTCCGAGACAGTCTGGAATTCCGTGATTTCCAGTCCCACCCCACCAGGCCGGCCGGCTCACCGAAGCCAAGGAAGCACATCAGCAAAAGAACCACAAGCCGGTGCGCTAGGCGACTGGGGTCGCAGAGGGCCTGCAGCGCCCCGGAGGCAGCAGGGGTAGCCCGGGTGTCTCTGCCCGCCTCGTCCGAGCCGCCTGGCAGCAGCGCCCTCGCTTCCTCCTCCTCTTCCTCCATCGAGCCCGCGGGAGACCGAGAGATGACAGCGAGTGTAGCTCCAGGAGGAAGCCGCTGCCAGAGCCCAGAGCAAACCGTGCTCACGTGACCGCAGCCGCTCACGTGACGCCGCGGCAGGTCACGCAGGGCTACGGTCATGTGAGTGGGCGTGGTCACTCGGTGGGCCGGGCCGGCGGGGCCCGAGGGGTAACGGCAGCGTGCGTTTTTCACCCGGAAGTTTCTAGGCGGGGTGCCTCTACCCTTTCTCCGCAGACCGCGCAGTCCCCTCGTTTCCTGCCTTGCTCCGGCTGGCGACTCCGCGCCGCTCCTCCGGAGAAAGTGCGGGCCTCCCCTCCGGCCCTACGCCAGGCTCGACCTGCGCGATCCCACCAGCGCGAGGGAGCCGAGAAAGCGCGCGGCGCTCCTCGCAGCATTGCTCTCCAGAGCCTTTTTGGCTGCTCTTAATAACACACAGTTGATTGAGCACCTTATGATGTGTCAAGTTACGTTTCAGGTACTGGGAAAACTAAGTGGAATGTGACAAGCTCTCGGACCTCAGAGAGTTCACAGTTTAGTTGGAGAGAGCGACTGAAACTGATACCTTAGAGAACAGTGTGATGAATGAACGCATGTAGTGAGAACTGCGGCTGAAATGAGCCCTGAATGCTAGCGCAATGTCTGGGAAAGGCGTTTGGGAAACGGAGAGTAAGTGTACCGTTTAACCAGCTGTGGGGAAAGGGACGGCGGAGGAGATGAGGAGTGCTAAAGATCCTTGAAGTTTATACCTAAACTAGAATTAAGAATGAGTCAATCTTGGTTCTTTATGAAGGGGTGGGTAATAGAGGTGAGGGGAGCGTTACGGATAATAAAGACGCAAGCATGAAACAACTGAGTGTGTGTGTGTGTGTGTGTGTGTGTGTGCAAGCATGAAACAACTGAGTGTGTGTGTGTGTGAGTGAGTGAGTGAATTGATCTGGGAACGAAAGAGGGAACTCCAGAGTAGGAACAACGAAGCTTATTTCATGAGGAGCCATGCAAGGTAGAAATTTCTAGCAGAGCAGCAAGGACGCCAGACCTGTGGTGGTGCCAAGCTTCATGACAGAACTCTTGAGGGTGACAAAGCTAGAGGTTGAATAACAATGAGGATTACTAGATATCAGGAAGATTAGAGGTGATGAGGGCCTATCCTGGGCAAATAGGGATGGAGCAAGGGAAACGGGCTTCCCAGGTGGCGCTAGTGGTAAAGCACCTGCCTGCCAATGCGGGAGACAGAAGAGACGTGAAATCGATCCCTGAGTTGGGAAGATCCCCTGGCGGAGTGCATGGCAAACCTCTCCGTTAAGTATTCTTCCCTGGAGAATTCCATGGATAGAGGCGGCAGGTGGGCTGCAGTCCATAAAAGTCGAAAAGCGTCAGACAGGACTGAAGCACTTTGTCTGCAGGCAAGGAAAACAGATGAAGTGTTTCACAGGTGAAATGGCTGACTTTGTGAATAATAGCTTATGAGGTCTGAGAGAAAGGCTGGACTTGAGAACCTCTCCCAGGTTTCTAGCGTGGGCTCCCCAGTAGAGATCAGAATACAGGGAGAGGAGAGTGGGGGAGGATGCCAGAGAAGAGAGATCAGTTTGGAACATGTTGCCTTTGAGATGTCTGCACAAGATGACTCCACCTTCCACCTCCCATTCTCCAGCTCCGAAGTAGGAGCCCCCAGTCTAATAAAGCTGTCTTGCCAAGATTATTAACAATGCCATCTTCCCAATCTCAGTGGTCACTTCTCTCCCTATCTTACTGCACTTCTCAACATCAGTTGATGCAGTTGACAGCCCCTTCTTCATGGCTCCCTTGACATACTCTTGCCTTGTTTTCCTGCTGGTTTAGTGGTCTCTCCTTTGTATCTCATTTGTCCACTCCTCCTCTTCTACCTGAACTCTTAAATGTTCAAGTGCTCCCGAATCCAGTCCTGGACTCTCCTCCACTCCTCCAGTTACATAGCTTTAAATATCATCACTGTTCTGTACTGTCCAATAGGTAGTCATCACCACATGTGACAAGTTGGCACTTGAAATGTGGCTAGTCCTATTTGAGGTGTGCTATAAGTGTAAAATACACACCAGATTTCAAAACAGTATGAAAAAAATATATATCTCTGGAAATTCCCTGGCGGTCCAGTGGTTAGGACTCCACACTTCCACTGCAGGGAACACAGGTTCGATCCTTGGTTGGGGAACTAAGATCCTACATGCCTCAAGAATCAACCAAAAAGAAAATCTCATTGATTACACATTGAATTAGTAATATTTATGCATATTGGGTCAAATAGAATGTTAAAGTTAATTTCACCTGATTTGACTTTTTAATCTGACAGCTAGAAAATTTTAAATTATGTGTGTGGCTTACATATTTCTATTTATTGGTGCTGATTTATATGCTGATGCCTTCTAAATAACCTCCATTCCAGACTCCTTTCTTAAACAATGACTCCTATTTCAACTGCCTGTATAACATCTCTGCATGGATGACTAATAGGCATTTCAAATCTTACCTATCCAAAGTAGAATCCTTGAGTTCTCTCATACGTTCTACCTGTTCCTCCCTAGCTGCTCCCCAGCAAAGTAAATGGCTCATCTCTCCACCTGTTGCCAGCCACAAGCCTAACCTTCATCCTAACGGCTTACTTACCTCAGCGCCAGTGTCTACTCCCCGCCTTTGGCATTGTCAGCTAAGACTTAATGCTTCCAATGGTGTACTGCAACAGACGTTTAACTTCTTTTTAAAATTTTGCTTATTTTTCATGAGAAACATACCTAGCATGACATTCAGACAGTACTGAAGAGAATTGAGCTCAAGGCAAGATTTTTCCGCCTCCCTCTCCCCAGTTCTCCTGGGAAGCAATCACCTTTTCTAGATTCCTTTGTATCTTTCCAGAGATATTCCACAGTTTTTTTTTCTTTCAACAGAACAATATAACAAAGAGAATGGCTTCATTTTGTGTAACAGATGCAAAGGATTCTCTCCTATAAATATGTTATACTTAGCAAGTCCTCTATCGATGGACACTTAAGTTGTTTCCAAACTCCTGTACACAGTCCTGCTGTGAATCGCCTGGATGATGCTCATTTCACATTTACCTGTAGGATAAATTCTTGAAAGTAGATTGCTGGATCAAAGAGGTATACTTTAAAAATATTGCTCAGTTCAGTTCAGTCACTGAGTCGTGTCCAACTCTGCAGCCCCATGAACTGCAGCATGCCAGGCCTCCCTGTCCATCACCAACTCCCGGAGTCTACCCAAACCCATGTCCATCGAGTCGGTGATGCCATCCAACCATCTCATCCTCTGTCGTCCCCTTCTCCTCCTGCCCTCAATCTTTCCCAGCATCAGGGTCTTTTCAAATGAGTCAGCTCTTTGCATCAGATGGCCAAAGTATTGGAGTTTCAGCTTCAACATCAGTCCTTCCAATGTACACCCAGGACTGATCTGCTTTAGGATGGACTGGTTGGATCTCCTTGCAGTCCAGGGGACTCTCAAGAGTCTTCTCCAACACCACAGTTCAAAAGCATCAATTCTTTGGCACTCAGCTTTCTTTATAGTCCAACTCTCACATCCATACATGGCCACTGGAAAAATCATAGCCTTGACTAGACGGACCTTTGTTGGCAAAGTAAAGTCCGCTTTTTAATACTCTGTCTAGGTTGGTCATAACTTTCCTTCCAAGGAGTAAGTGTCTTTTAATTTCATGGCTGCAGTCACCATCTGCTGTGATTTTGGAGCCCAAAAAGATAAAGTCAGCCACTGTTCCCACTGTCTCCCCATCTATTTGCCATGAAGTGATGGGACCAGATGCCATGATCTTAGTTTTCTGAATGTTGAGCTTTAAGCCAACTTTTTCACTCTCCTCTTTCACTTTCATTAAGAGGCTCTTTAGTTCTTCTTCTGCTACATAGTGTCAAATTGTTCTGATTAAAGTCATACCAGTTTGCACTCCACCAGCACTACCCCTAATCAACCTTGTGATCAGAATTTTGATGTTTGCAAATAATAAGTGAAAAACAGTTCTCATAGTGTTGTCTCAAATTGCATTTCTGTTCAAGTTGCAGGTCCAACCTCTTTATGTGATTAATAGTCACTTACATTTTCTAGGAATGCTCTTCATATCCTTGTTTATATTTTCAGATGAGTCCTTTGCTTTCTATCACTGATGAAATTGGCTGTTTGTGAGATAAAATTTCCTTTGACTATGTTTATGGTGTATTTTTTCATATAGTTTTTTAGTGTAAAAAATTTTTTTTCACCACTCGGGATTTGCTTCTCACAAGATTTTGACAGCCTTAACTGGGCTTCCTACTTTCACTGTTACATTTCTATGATATGTTGGCCACACAGCAAGTCAGAATGATCTTGTTGGTTAGTTTTGGACTTTGGTCTGTCAAAAGATAATGAGACAAGCATCCCATATGTGAACTAAAAAAGACAAAGCTGGAGTTGTTGTGTACTCTTTGTAAGGGAAGTCTGTGTGGGTCGGTATATAGGTAGGCGCACACCACCTTAACCAAGTGATCAAAGTTAATATTACCAGTACTGAGATAAACTGACATCATGTGCCTGCTGATATTATGCACCGAAATGGACACAGCCCTCTGTAGTAGTCCTACCAAAGCTCATGCCTAGATCTAGTCATGAGGAAATGCCAGACAAACTGAAATCAAGAGACATTTTACAAAATAACTACACTGTACACCCTCAAAAATCAATGTCATGAAAGACTAAGGATCTGTTCCTGATTAAAGCAGACTAAAGGGAAATGATCACTGACTGCAACATGTGATCCAGAATTTCTTCAGCTGTAAGGAGCATTATCGGGTCAGTTGACAAAATCCGCATAAGGCCTATGGTTAGGTAATTTATACCCTATCAGTGTCACTTGCTTTATTTTGACTATCACACTGTGGTTATGAAAGAATTGGGAAAAAATACTTCATTTTAGAAAACACATTGAAATGTTTAGTACCAACTTAACCTAC